CTAAAAACAGCAACTTTCTGACACTAATCACAAAAACAATTTGACACCACAAACAATAACAGTGACACCAAATACATCAACATCCTGAAACCAAACACAACAGCATTCAGAAACCAAACACAAGAAGTCTTACTCCAAACAACAACAGTCTGTCAGGAAACACAACACCAAACACAAAAACAGTCTGATACCAAACAACACATTGGTCCGACATCTACAGCAAAACAAGCTGATACCAATGAAAACGCCAGTTTGATACAAAACACAACAATAGTCTAACTCCAAACAATAGTCTAACGCCAACAACAGTCTAACTCCAAGCAACAGCAGATTGTCACCAAGCACAACAACAGAATTATATCAGACACAACAGTCTGATACAAAACATAAAAACATCTATCACCATACACAACAACAGATTGACACTAAAACAATTATAGGTTGATAACAAGCATAATAGTTAACACCAAACACAACAAGAGCCTCACAGTAAACACAACAAGAGTCGGACATTAAACACAACAGCAGGCTACTCTCAAATACAACATGTCACCAAAGATAACATTCTGACCCAAAAGACAACAACAGACTGACACCCAACACAACAGTCTGACACCAAATACATCAACAATCTGATATAAAATACAATAACAGTCTGATTCCTAACAAAGGAACAGTCTGACAAGAAACACAGTAACAATCAAACATCAAACACACGAACTGTCTGACAACAAACTGAACAACAACCTGACGCTAACCAAAGCTTCAATCTGACATCAAACATAACAACAGTCTGACACAAGAGCAACAGTAGTTTTACACCAGCCACGACAACAGTCTGACATTAAATGCAACAACAATTTGAAACCTAACAAAGAAGCAGTATGACACCAAACACAACAACAGTCTGCCACCAAACACAAGAATAGGCTGAACAACAGTCTGACACCAAGCAAAACAACATTCTGATAACCAAAGCAACAACAGTTTGACACCAAAGACTACAACAACAATCTGGCACCACACTCAACAGAATGACATCAAACACAGCAACAATCTAGTCTCAGACATTACAACAGTCTAAGGCCAAATAAAAAAAAAACAGTCAGAATCCAAACAAAACAAAAGTTCGTCACCAAAGGCATCAGTAGTCTAACACAATGGTTTGACACTAAACACATTAACAGTTTCATACTAATCTCGGTAACAATGTGACACCAACACACGTACAGTTTGACACCAGACAGTTACTGTGTTTGGTGTCAGAATATTATGTTTAGTGTTTGACTGCTGTTGTGTATGGTGTCGGACTGTTGTGTTGCTCAGTGTTTAACTGTTGTTGTGTTTGGTGTCAGTCTGTTGTTCTCTCTAATGAAAGATTTTAGTTGTCTTTGGTGCCAAGCTGTTTTTGGACTTGGTGTTAGAATTTTGTTGCTGCCTTTGGTGTCAGACTGTTATTGTGTCTTGTGTCACTGTTGTTATATATGGTTATTATGTTTGGCTGTTATTATGTTTGGTGTCAGAGTGTTGTTGTGTTAAATATGAGACTGTTGCTGTGTTTGGAGTCAGACAGTTGATGCTTTTGGAGTCAGACGGTTGTTGTCTTAGGTGTCAGACTTTTATTGTGTTTGATGACTGATTGTTGCTGTGTTTGATATCAGTCTGTTGTTGTGTTTGGATTCAGATTGTCGATGTGTATAGCGTCAGACTGTTGTTGTGTTAAGTGTCAGACTGTTGGCGTGTTTGGTGTTAGACTGTTGTTGTGTCTGGTGCCAGACTTTTGTTGTGTTTTATGTCAGTTTTGTTTTGACCTGGAGGCTAACTGTTTTTGTGTCTGGTATGACACTGTTGTTCTGTCTTATGCCAGTTTATTGTTGTTTCTGATGCTGACTTGTAATGTCTAGCGTCATTTTGTTACTGTAGCTGGTGTCAGCCGTGCCTGTTGTATCACTGATACTGTGTCTTGAGATTGACTGATTGGTTGTTTTATCTGGTATTAGAGAGTTGTTGTTTCTGGAGGGTGACTGTTGTTGCGTCTGATGTCAAACTGTCTTTGAGTATAATTGTGCCTGATGTCAGTTTATTATTACATTTGGTGTAAGGCTGTTATTAATGTGTTTAGTGTCATAATACTGAGCAGTCTGGAGGCTGACAGTCTGATATCAGTTTCTTGTTGCATTTGCTATCAAACTGTTGTTGTTTTTGATGTCAGGTTGAAGTTGTGTTTAGTGTGAAGCTGTTGTTTTGTGTGTTGTCAGACTAATGTTGAGTTTCTTGTATAACTGCTTGGTGTCAGACTATTTTTGTTTGGCGTCGCACTATTGTTATGTCGTGTTTGGTGACAGACAGTTGCTATATTTGGTGCCAGACAGTTGTAATGTTTAATGTAAGACTGTTGTTGAGTTTGGTATCAAACTTGTTGAATTTGGTCTCAGATTGTTGCTGTATTTGGTGTCAGACTATCATAGTCTTTGGTGTCAGTCTTTTGTAGTATTTGGTGCCAGTGTTGATGTATTTTTTAACTGACTGAAGTTGTGGTTGGCGTCAGACTGATGGTGTGTTTGGTGTCAGACTGTTTTTATGTCTAATGTTAGTCTGTTTTTGTATCTAATGACTAATGTGTCTTATATTTAGATTGTTACTGTTTCTGGTGACAGTTATTGTGTCTAAATTTCTACTATTGCTCTGTCTACATTTGTAGTGTTTTTGCATCATGAGGCTCTTTCTGTGTCAAGTGTTAGTCTGACGCTGTTCCTGTTGTGACATTGATATTGTATCTGGATGCTTCTCGTTGTGTCTTGAGTCAAACTATTGTTTTTTTCTGGCATTAGGAAGTTATTGTTTCTGGAGGGTGAGACTGTTGTTGTGGCTGAAGTCAAACTGCCTTCGTCTGTTATATCAGATTATAAAAGTGTGTCACACTGTTATTGAGTTTGGTATGTCTGTTGTTGCTGTTTCTAGTGTCACAATGTTGAACTGTCAGGGTGCTTATAGTTATTGTGGCTGGAGGAAGACTGCTGTTGGGACTCGTATCAGACTCTTGTATTATATGTAGCTGTTGTGTTTGTTCTTAGACTGTTGTTGTGTTTTGTGTCACTGTTGCTCTGCTTAGTGTCTGACTGTTATTTTATTTTGTGATTGTTTGATGCTGTTATGTTTGGTGACAGACTGTTGTGTTTGGTATAAAACCGATGTTGAGTTAGGAATCGGATTCTTGCTGTGTTTGGTGTAAAGCTGTTATTGTGTTTGGTTTTACACATTTATTATGTATGGTATCAGATTGTTGTAGTGTTTGAAGTCAAACTGTTGTGTTTGGTGTCTGACAGTTGTTGTGTTTGGCGTCATGATATTGTTCAGTTTGGTGTCAAACTTTTGTTGTGTTTGGAGTCTAGATGTTGTTGTTTTTGTGATCAGACTGTTGTTGGGGTTGGTATCAGACTGTTGCTGTTTTCTGTCAGTCTTATGTTGCGTTTGGTGTACGAATATTGTTGTGCTTGATGTCAAATTATGTCTGTGTTGGGGATCAGGCTGTTTTTGTATTTGGTTTCAGATTGTTATTGCATTAGATGTAGACTGTTGTTGGGTATGATGTCATACTGTTGTTGAGTTTGATTTCAGAATTTTATTGTGTTTGGTGCCAGTCTCTTATGTTTGGTGGAAGTTTGATGTAGTGTTTGGAATCGGTCTCTTTTAGTGTTTGGTATGAATCTGTTGTTGTGTTTGGTGTCAAGCTGTTGAGATTTTTGTCAATTTGTTGTTGAATTTGGCATCAGGCTGTTGTTTTGTTTGATGTCGGTTGCCTTTAGTGTAAGAATGTTGTTCAGTTTGTTTTCAGTCCTTAGTAGTGTTTGGTGTTAGTTTCTTTACAGTGTTTGGTTTCAGCTTGTTGTGTTTGGTGTCAACCTGCTCTAGTGTTTGGTTTCCGACTGTGTTTGTATTTGGTTTCAGACTGTATAATATCTGGAGTGAGACTGTTGTTGTGTCTGGTGTTATACTGTTATTGTGATTTGTAACAGGCTATTTTTTTGTTTGGTTTCCAATTGTGCTTGTATTTGGCTTCAGATTGTTGTAATAATTGGTTTTAGACTATTATGGTGTTTCATATGAGATTGTTGATGTGCTTAATGTTATGCTGTTGTTGTGTTTGGTGTAAGACTGTTGTTTGGTATGATGTCAAACTATTGCTGTATTTGATGTCAGACTATTAAAGTGTTTGGTTTCAGACCGTAGTTGTGTTTGGTGTAAAATGTTTTTGTCTTTGGTGTCAGCCTATTATTGTCTTTGGTGTCAGACTGATTTAGTGTTTTTTGTCACACTGTAGTTGCTTTTGGTGTCAGACTGTTGTTATGTTAGGTGCAAGTATTTGTTGAGTTGGCGTTAAACTGTTGTTGTGTTTGTTGCCAGACTACTGATGTGCTAGGTGTCAGCTTGTTGTATTTGTTGTCACACTGTTGTTGTGTTTGGTGTCAGATTGATGTCATGTTTGGTTTTGACTATTTTGCTTAGTGTCAAACTATTGTTGTGATGGTGTTGGGCTTTTTTTTTTGCTTTTGGTTTGATACTGCTCTTGTGTTTTGTGTCAGACTGCTATTGTGTTTGCTGTCAGACTGATGTTGTTTGGTGTCAGATAGTTATTGTGTTTGCTGTTAGACTGGTGCTGTGGTTGGTGCCAGATTGGTGTTGTGTTTGTTGTCAGACTTTTGTTGTGTTTGATGTCTTACTGATGTTATATTTAGTATCTGTTTTATTTCAGACTGTTGTTGTGTTTGGTGTCGCACTTTTGTTGAGTCAGGTGTAAGTCAGTTATGCAGACACTTCTAGCAAACTAATCTGTTAATTCCTCTTTATTTCATTAAAATTAATAATTAACTGAATGGTGATAAATGTATTTCCTTCTTTTGTTAAATAAAGTTTTGGGAAAAATGTCAATGTAACAATAAAAAGTAGCTGGTGACGAGAAATCAATTATGTTAATGTTAACAATGTGTCACTGTGTACAGGTCCTATGGTTAACGTGACAGCTGTGATGGAGGGAGAAGCTCTACTACCCTGTGACGTCTCCACTACCTTGGAAGACGACCATCCAGTCCTTGTTATGTTTTATAGCAAGGACTCGGGCACTCCCATCTACACGTAAGTATTTAAATTGTTTGCACATTCCACGTGCTATTTTTCAGCAGTAACCTGGCTGAAACAACTCCCAGCTAGCACACAAACTGGTAGTCAAAGTTGGACATTTTTTCTGACTCTCAATACTATACACCCATGTACCAATGAATATATATATATATATATATATATATATATATATATATATATATATATATATATATATATATATATATATATATATATATATATATTCCAAAACCAAGGGCTAGCATACAAGACACAATGAAGTCAACGACATCATAAAGAGAACCCTTGCTACAGCTGGATGCCCAGCCGAGAGGAAGCCCCAATCACTAGCAGCCAAAAATACTCACAACCCAGCAAACCACCCAGACGGGGTCACCATCTATCCTTGGAGGAATAGCAAGCTCTTAGCATGGGACAATACCTCTGTGTCAACGATGGCTGACGCCTACATGCATCACAGTGTGGGGCGACAGGGTGAAGGTGCCGACCATGGGAGGAGTACAAAATCAGCAAATACAGGGACATAAGCCAACAGTATCAATTTGTCGCAGTGGGAACAGAGACCTTGAGACCATGAGGAGAAAATGCCACACGTTTCCTTAAAGAACTGGGTTCCAGACTCATCAACACCACCAGGGACCCAAGGGCAGCCACTTTCATGTTCCAGCACCTCAGTGTGGCCATCCAGAGGAGAAATGCATGCTGCATACTTGGCTCGCGTCCGGCTTCGGAGGAGATTCATAATCTTTTATGTATTGTGCCATATATTTATGTATTGTGCCATATAATTAGCTCAGAGATTCTCACACCCTGGGATCATGGTAAAACATCTAGCTCTGCTGGGTACGTGATTCTTGTATGATTGAGTGGTCCAGTGGGTTTGAGCATCATGTGATTTTCACTCACCATGATGCAGGTCAAAACTACATGGGTTCGAGTCCTCTGCTAGTCGCAGTGTTAGTGAATATTTCGCGTGTTCTACAAATTCAAAACTTTGTAAATATCTCTCGCTGGTCGATGCATGCACTGGATGAGACGAAAATCTCAAAGCTACCTTCCTGAATTCTGGACCAAACGTTTCGCATTAGCTGGGCGCCAAGGTATTCGACCAGTGTGGTTTGGTGAGCAGAGTAATGCATACCAAATATTTTATTAATACACACACACCCACACACACACACACACACACACACACACACACACACACACACACACACACACACACACACACACACACCACACTTGTAAACAGTCAGGAGTCTTCTTTATTTCTCATATTTGAGGCTTCCCCTTGCCCCTGCGTGTTTGCGAGTCACAGCAATACTTCTTTGTGGGTTTAAATGTTTTTTTTGGGATTACCCCAGGATACTGCAGGGGTCAATAAGTGTGTCAGGAGTCAGTGAACAATCCCTGAAGCGATTTACAAGTTGTCCTGTGTCAGATAAGGGTGATGAGTGTCACAATTTTATAAGTGAACTTGAAAGTCATATTGGTGTAAAGTAGTGACGGCAGGCCTAGCGTAGTATAGGTGATGTTGCCACATATATCACCCAAGGAAGATAATTAAGTGAAATTAGTGTGATCAGTGAAAGAAGCGCAGTAAATAGGAGTAATATATATATATATAGTGAAGAAACAGAGGTGGAGGTGCTAGGGCAAAACATCACAACGAGTTGGACACTACAGGTTGCATGCAAATATTCACCTATGCATGCTTTTGGGGAATCAGGGGTAAGTTTCCAGGGATCGCCAGCTGTTTTGGGAATGGCTACTCTCTTAATATGAAGAGGAATAAGCTAATAAGTACCCCATTTGGTGTAATAGCCTCAACTAGCAGTATTTTATACTATTGTGACCACGAACGAGTGGTATTCGCTCACCATGAGGCAGGCCAAAACAACATGGGTTCGAATCCTTGACTATCGCAGTGTTGTCATTGATCAATACCACTCGTTCGTGGTCACAATAATATAAAATGCTGCTTGTTGTGGCTATACACCAAACGGGAGGAGAATGAAATTAGCTCAGAGGCACTCACACCACCTTATGTCCTCGAACCAAGGATAACACACCTAGCTTGGCTGGGTGCTTGGTTCTTGTAGGATTTGGTGGTCCTGTGGGTTAAGAACATAAGAATGGAGGAACACTGCAGAAGGCCTACTGGCCCATACATGGCAGGTCCTTATCAAAACCATCCCTCCCCAAAACTACCCAAGAGTTAACTCCCATACCCACGAAGTCCTCCATGAGAAAGTGGAACATAATTCTTCCTCCGTAAGCCATGCGTGTTATAAGAGGCGACTAAAATGCCGGGAGCAAGGGGCTAGTAACCCCTTCTGTATATATTACTAAATGTGAAAGGAGAAACTTTCGTTTTTTCTTTTGGGCCACCCCGCCTCGGTGGGATACGGCCGGTTTGTTGAAAGACCCACGACACCATCCAAACCCAACCCCTTGCACTCATATATTTGTTCAATCTCTTTTTAAAGGTTCTCAAGGTCCTAACCTCGACCACCCCACTCGGAAGACCATTCCACGCATCTACCACTCTGTTAGAATACCAGTACTTACCTATGTCCTTTCTATATCTAAATTTATCCAACGTAAATCCATTATTTCTGGTTCTTTCCTGGTTCGACACCCTCAGTACTGCTGCTTAAATTTCACTTTGTTCCAGACTATGGAGCAAAACTCTTCTCCAAGCTGAGGGACTGACCGCCTCAAAACTACGGCTTCAAGGGTGATGGACTGATTACATCGTCTTCACAGATCTTCTGCTTCTGCTAACTCTTCTGTACTCGTTAAAGATTGATACACTTATACAACATATGGGAATCTTTATTGAGGAAACGTTTCGCCACACAGTGGCTTCATCAGTCCAATACAAAGTAGGAAGGTGTAAGGAGAGGAGGAGTTTGAGGTAATCAATCCCTCAGCCTGGAGTCGATGTGTTCAGTCCATAAATCTTGTAGACTGTACAGCATAGGGTTAGGTTAGGTAAGGTTCGTCAGGAAACAGGGCAAATGTTTCCTGGCGAGGGTCTTAGTCAGATGATGACCAGCCTTTCGAGCTTTGGTCATCTGATCGAAGCCTTCCGCTGGCTTACCGGTCCACCCCTTTAAAAATTATGGTCATTTATAACCATGTACGTTGTGGTGTACTTTGCAGCATTGGGCCGTAGATGTGGCTTATATACTGTAGTCAGACGAGGCGAAGCAGGAAGAGGCGGGGTCATAGTGGTACCATCCACTAGTTGAAGTAGATCTTCGTCCAAAGGTTGACAAGTGTTGAAGAATTCTTTGTGTCTGACAGTTCTGATAAAAAGTTAAAAAAAAAAACTTGCCTGTTATTTTAATCATTTATTTCTTCTGTACTCGACTGAAGAAACCTACTGTGTAGGCGAAACGTTTCGGAATAAAGATACCTAACTGTTGCACATGTGTCTTACTTATCAATATGTCGGTATTGTACACCATTTTCATATTCATTATGAGTTGTTGATACCGATAGAACTACTACTACTACTACTACTGCCACTTCTACTACTACTACTACACTACTACTACTACTACTACTACTACTACTACTACTACTACTACTACTACTACTACTACTACTACTGCTGCTGCTGCTGCTGTGCTGCTGCTGTTGCTGCTGCTGTTGCTGATGCTACTACTACTGTAATAATAATAATAATAATAATAATAATAATAATAAATAATAATAATAATAAGAAGAAGAAGAAGAAGAAGAAGAAGAAAAAGAAGAAGAATTTTAAAATTTTTAAGATTTTAAAGCCTCATCTTGGTGAACCAATGTAAGAGAAAAGTGAAGTGCGTATTTTGAAGGTATAAACTAGGAGCGCTAGGCTAGCTTACTGGCCAGATATTTTCCCCTAAATGCACAAAAGTATTTTAATGAATACTTGATAAACTCCAAGAAGATCGTTACTATTCTTAAAAGTATTTTCATTATGAAAAGTTGAGGAAAACATGTCAGTGTCATTATTTCTTGCGTTAATTTTTCGTCCAACTTTTCAGATTCAGATTTCAGATTTCATTGCAAGTAATATCGTCAGATATATTTTTGAATGACAACTGGCAATCCTGAAGCCTGGAAGCTGGAGGAGCGATTTAAAGCCGGTACTGCATTATATGTACATGGAGAACATGCTTCCGACTGAACATGATGAGACCGCTTAGCCGGTATTTTAAGGAATAAAAGAATCAGATGCCTCTTGAAATTAAATGTTCATCGAGAAAGAAGAACGGTGGAAAAATGATCACGAAGTTTTCCGTTACAATGACTGAATTAATGAATTCATTCCCATCATCAGTTGTTCCACAGTAGATGTTGCAAGATTCTGTAAGAGGCAGAAGTACGCTCTTACCTTGAGAATGATCCACTTTCTTGGACTGCCTGTGGTGAGTAGGTACCTAATTGTTAATCGACTGTTGTGGGTCGCTTCCTGGGGGAATGGGGGGTAGTATACTTTACATAAATTATGGATTTTAAATAAGCTTAAAAAAAAAAAGCCTTGGATCTGAAAGCCCCTCTCCTGCACCAATCAGTACACAAGACATCAATCACTGTTACAACACCTACTGGTACCCCTTGCATCAGTATTCCATAAGAATTTCAGGAAATAGGACAACACCCTCCCAGGCACTTAGGCAGTGCTCACACTGGCATGGAAGGGGTAACACCAATTACTACCACAAGTGGGGACATGAAGAAGATCGCTGGCAAATCAAAGAGAACGTAGATAGAGAAAATAACCAGTTCTTTAGGAATTTATTATCGGAACAAACTAGCAGGATCTAACCAACCCAGCTACTCCAAGCACCTTACACACCTATTTAGTCAAGCTGAACAACAACAGTATTAGGAGCCAGTCTTTTAGTATCCTGTCTGCCAACATTAGCTGCTTCATTACCAATGCTTGTGAGCTCACGCACAGATTTGCAGACACTCATCGTCCTGATATGATCACC